ATAAGTCTTCTCAAGAAATAGGATTAGGATTACCTAGCTCCATTGACTTTTTGATTCCACTGCTATTGACATTTTTTTTTCTACAAAATACTGGACAAAATTGAGTTTTTTGTTCTCAGTTTTCTCGTATATGTGAGATGATACACCCGGTATTTATACAAGCTCATAAAAACTGCATTTGTTCAGGGTTATCACAAAATTTTTGAATATTATAGCTACGATAACACTCAATAGAAATATTTTAAAATATAGAGTGGAAAAATTGAGAAAATTAAAAATTTACCAATGTAATCACCCTGTACAGATAAATTTTAATCTCTTTGATTTTCTGCACGTATATTAAAGTAAACTGGCAAAAAAATGTGTAAAATTCTAAGCCTCCATATTTCAAAATAGCGGTGCTGTGAATTTTCAAATAGGACTTTTTTCTATTCAGACATTTTTCTCCAAAATAGATGCTGTCCCAATAATTTGAAGGAGGACAGTAACTCATTTTTAAAATAAGACACTCTGTATTTATAACATTTTGACCTTATCTCTAAGTAAGTGATCTTTTGACACCACATTCTTTAAAATCTGTCCTAAGAATTTTATGAAATTATAGTTACAATAAAACCCAATATAAATGTTTTAAAATACATTGTATCCCATTTGGAAAAATTAAGAAAAATAACAAATTACAAGTGTAATCACTCTGTACAGATAAGTTTAAATCTTTTCGATTTTCTGCACGTATATTAGCTGCCAAAAAAAATGTACAATTCCAAGCCTCCATCTTCCAAAATGGTGGAGCTACAAATCTTTAATTATTATATTTTTTATATTGACAAATTTTTATGCAAAATGCAGAATATCCTAATGATTTGGTGGCAGAAAATCAGCCATTTTTCGTAAATTAATAAAAAATCATGACCTCATCTAATAGAAGATAGAGAGAGATCTTTATTCTCAGTTTCCTCATATTTTTTAACTTAGACATCCTGTATATTTAACATTTTGACCTTATCTCTAAGCAGGCGATGTTTTGGCACTATATTTTTTGAATGTTGTCCTAACAAATTTTTGAAATTATAGTTACGATAAAGGCTAGGAGTAATGTTTTAAAATACAGGATGTCCTATTTGAAAAAAATGAGAACACTAACAATTTACAAATTTAATAACCTTGTACAAAAAATTTTCAAATTTACCATTTTAAACATATTTTAAATTTCATGTTGTGAAAAGAAGTCTACACATATTAAAACAAAAAGACAAAATGGAAGCCCGCCCACCCACCCTATCTCAATTGTGATGATCTTTTTTTATTCGTCATGAACCAAGGGGGCGGAGCTTAACTGCAAAGTACTTATTTCTGTACAAGAAATTAAAAACATGATTTTGAGTATTGTGTTGTTCAAAGAATACTGTGTACCTATATTAAAAAAGAAAAGCAAAATATAAAAGTTAGTATACGTGGTCGTCTTTTCAGAACAAGAAACTTAAAACATGTTTTTATTTGGTGTAGGGAAATAAGGAGTTTTAAATTAAGCTCCGCCCTCTTTGCTCACGACGAATAAAAAAATCATCACAATTTTGTTCGGTTCAATACACGTGTATTAAGAGAAGGCGACAAAAAAATATATAAAAGACCAAGCGTCGTTTTCTCGTATTTTTTAAATGAGACACCCTGTATGTTTAATATTTTTGAGCTAATATCTTTTGATACTACATTTGTTGAAGGTTCTCTAATAATTTTTGTAAATTATAGTTACGCCAAAACCCAATAGAAATGTTTTAAAATACAGGTGTTCAACTTGGAAAAAGTAAAAACACTAATAATTTACAAATATAATCACTCTGTACAGTTAAGTTTAAATCTTTTCGATTTTCCAAGAGAAACTGACAGAAAAATACTGTAAAATTCCAAGCCTCCATCTTTCAAAATGGTGGAGCTGTCATTTTTTATATATGACCTTTTTATATCGACAATTTTTTAATGCAAAATACAGGATGTCCCAATGATATATATATATATATATATATATTATTAAATTTGTCATTATTTATAAATTATTAAAAAATGACGAACCCAACTAATAGAAAGTAGTGATCTTAATTCTCAGTTTTTTATATTTTTTTAAATGAGACAGCCTGTATATTTAACATTTTGACCTTATCTCTAAGTAGGCGATCTTTTGACACTATATTTTTTGAAGGTTGTCCTAACAAATTTTTGAAATTATAGTTACGATAAGGCCTAGTAGAATTGTTTTAAAATACAGGTGTCCCATTTGGAAAAATTGAGAATACTAACAATTTACAAATATAATCACTCTGTACAATTAAGTTTAAATTATTTTTCGATTTTCTATACGTATGTTGAGGCAAACAGCAAAAAAAAAGTACAACTCCAAGTCTTCGTCTTCCAACATCGTGCTACTGTGAATTTTTAAATCTGACTTTTTTTATATTGACAAATTTTTATGCGAAATATAGGATGTCGCAATGATTTGCTGGAAGAAAATTGCCCATTTTTTGTGAATTGTAAAAAAATGATGCCTCCAACTAATAGAAAATGGAGATCTTTATTATCAGTGTTCTAGAATTTTTTTAAATGAGACAGTCTGTATGTTTAATCATTTTGAACTTATATATATATAAGTAGGCAATCTATTACATTTGTTGAATGTTGTCACAACAATTTTTTTGAAATTATAGTTACTGAAGAACCCAATAATAAATGTTCTAAAATATAGAATGTCCCACTTGGAAAAATTGGGAAAAATAACAATTTACAAAAATAACCACTTTATTCAGTTAAGTTTAAATCTTTTCGATTTTCTACACGTATATTAAGGCAAACTTCAAAAAAAAATGTGAAATTCCAAGCCTCCATCTTTCAAAATGGTGGAGCTACAAATTTTTAAATATTACATTTTTTATATTGACAAATTTTTATGCAAAATACAGAATATCCTAATGATTTGTTGGCAGAAAATTTGCCATTATTTATTATAAATTATTAAAAATGATGAACCCAACTCATAGAAGGTAGTGATCTTAATTCTCAGTTTTTTATATTTTTTTAAATGAGACATATTTAACATTTTGACCTTATCTCTAAGTAGGCCATCTTTTGGCACTATATTTTTTGAAGGTTGTTCTAACGAATTTTTGAAATTATAGTCACGATAAAGTCCAGTCGAATTGTAATACAGGTGTCCCGTTTGGAAAAGTTGAGAAAACTAATAAATTACTAATATAATCACTCTGTACAATTAAGTTTAATTTTTTTTTCGATTTTCTACATGTATATTAAAGCAAACAGCAAAAAAAGTAAAACCCCAATTCTGCAAGAAAATTGCCTATTTTAATTGAATTATAAAAAAATGATGCCCCCAACTAACAGAAGATGGAGATTTTTATTGCAGCGTTCTAGTATTTTTTTAATGAGACACCCTGTATTATATTTACAATTTTTTGTATGCAAAATACAGGAGGTCCAATGATTTGGTGGAAGAAAATTACCCATTATTTATAAATTATTAAAATTATGAACCCAATATAACATGATTATCTTCATTCGCAGTTTTCTCATATTTTTTTAATGAGACATCCTGTATGTTTAATATTTTTAGCTTATATCTAGGTAGGCGATCTTCTGATACTGCATTTGTCCTAATAGCTTTTGAAATTATAGTTAAGAGAAAGCCTAGTAGAAATATTTTAAAATACAGGCTGTCCCATTTGGAAAAAATGGGAACACTAAAAATTTACAAATATAGTCACCCTGTACAGATAATTTTCGTACTGTTCATTTTTCTACACGTATATTAAGACAAGCTGACAAAAAAATCTCTAAGAGTCCATGAATTTTTTTTTTTAGTAGAGGAAAATTACCCATTTTAAGTAAATTTTTAAAAATTATGACGCAAGTAAGGGAAGATGGAAGTTTTCTTTCTCTATTTTCTCATATTTTTTAAATTGCACACCCTGTATTTTAAACATTTTTCAGTTTATCTCTAACTAGGCATTCTTTTGATACCACATTTGTTGCAACTGTAGCTACGATAAAACCCAGTGGAAACGTTTTAAAATACAGGCTGTCCCACTGGAAAAAAATGAGAAAACTAACAATTTACAAATATAATATTCTAGATTTTCTGTACATATATTAAGGCAAGTTGACAAGAAAAAATGTATAGAACTATAACCCTCCATTTTTCAAAGTGGTGGAGATGTTAATTTTTAATAAAATTATTTCACAGTCCAATATCTTGAAAATTTTTAATCAGAAAAAGTTTATATTGATATCTTTTTTCCTTTTTTCATGGACTTTTAAACAGAGCAATGTCTACAATTTAAAATAATTCTACATTCTAGTTTTAAATGAGTTTTTTTAGACTGTATTAATTCACTTTTTCAATAATCCACGGTAAATTTGCCATCTTTCACTACCAGATCGTTGAGATAACCAGTGTATCAAACGTTTCAACAACATAAAAATTCATTTCTACATAAAGGAAATTAGGGGTTTCTAATTTAGTTTCACTGTTCATTTTACGAGGTTTTTAAAATTTATCTTCAAGAGTAATAGTGTGTTCTAATTTCCTTATTATATTTTTTTGGAAAACGCACAATACAAGTTGATGACTCATTTTCCATTAAACTTGAAACAAAGCTTCCCTAAATGAATCATATTCGGTTGAGTTTTTAAAATAAATATGTCCTATTTGATCTCTATCTTCTTCTGGGTTTAATACTTTCCCTGATACATTGAGCGTAAAAGTAAGCACAAATTTGGCCCAAAACCTATGCAGAAGGCTGACTTTAATCGAAAATAAAAATTCAGTAGACACGAATAATGTATGCACTTAAGTATATATTTCACCACCCAGCAAAACCGATTATAATGCTATATGTCAGGAGTTGCTTTCAGCGGCGCATTCAAGAGTGAAACCCCACGACTAACCCCTCTTTAATTACTTCAAATAAATACTTTCCCAATAATTCACTTACCTCAGGTTGGCTCTCCCCGTGAACAATGCAGACCAGCTGGGCCTCTTTACCTTCCCCGGAATGAACAATCGGTTTTTCCACCGCTATTTCAGGAGGATCTGTAACAAATTCTCACTTGAGTATTCAGCAAATTCAGTGAAAAGGCCTCAACCCCACGCCGCATTGTTTTCCCTTCAAAATTGTTCAATAGAGAACACAAGTGAATATGTTCGCTTAATTAACGCTGCGACAGCATATTATAACATATTCGTCTTTGTAGATAATATCGAATATTAAAACCGCCTCTTTTACATGTGAATAGAATCTCTGTGCCATCTTAACAAGAAAACACAAAGTCTTGCGCAATAAATAATACAGCCGGAGTACATTTATGTGTAGGCTGTGTTGCCTAATTAACACAGGATCTACCCCTGTTGCCATTTATTTTCAAACCTCTGGCATAAATCACTCGATCCGGTAGGGCGGCAGGGGGTGTTTCATTAACGTTTTTGGTTGCACGCGGAACGGTACAAATTTTTACTTCGTTAGCGGAGACGCGAATTTTTATCTTGACGCGTTTGGCACGTCGTAGAAGACGAAAATGCAAGTTTCTGTTTGCAAATTCGGGTCAAAGCTCGCACTAGAATTTCTGCGTTGCATTGTAATTGCATTTAGAGCATTTAATTATGCAGTAAATGTTAAACCATTCAGGTCAGGGTGCAAAGCAGCATCACAGAGGCTTTGGTGATTACCAATTGTGGTTTGCAGATCGTTAATAATCATTACATGTCGTTATTACCACGGTGTTGTTATCAGTAGTATTTGGGAGCACAAACGGCTACACTTAGTAGTGTAAATTGACTTTAACTAAATCCTATAAATTTGTATTTTATCGGAATAATTTAGGTATTGTTCCGGTTTCAATTAGCAATGTTAAGGGAAAACAAACTTGTTGGGTTGTGTTAGATATAATTCGCTTGGAGCGGTGGTTACCAATTTTGTAAGTGGGGAATGAAATCTGAATATTTAATTATTGGATGATCGCCGGACGCTGTCGGATTTTGTAAGGATTTTTAATTGAAAATCTTGTATAATTTGAATTTTTATTACAGTTTCAGTTATTTCGTTTTTTCTTTAATTACAGATAAATTCATTTTTAGTTTTTGTCTATGTCCATTGTGTTTTTATTTTTGCAAAAAAAAATTACTCCGGAAGCTTAACCTTTAACAGTTATAATGTAGGAGCGAAATGATATTTAATTTGTTTTCAGTTTAATTTCATCAAATTTTTTTCGTTTATATAAAAAAATAATCGCGTTGTATCGACTTACACAGCAAAAAAAAACAGGTTTGAAATAAAATTATACTAATGGAATTTCTCGGAGATAAATTTAAACAGTTTTTCCGACCTTTTACTCTTAAAAGCAAATACCTAGCGTAGTTGTTGAATTAATTAAAGAAATTCTATCGTGCGATAATTCATCATTCTAAATAAAGACTAAATAAAGACCGAATTACTCTCAGAATGAAAAAAATGTCGTACCAGAAATGAATCCTTTCCCTTCTCTATGTGTAAAAGGAACATCCTGTATAGTACTTGTAATTTGCACAAATAGCCATAACACGTATCAATTTGTAGACGTGACGGTGAAACACAAACTAAACTAACACATGTTTTCTATGAATTGGGATAACTGGATGGCAGTGCCGAAGGTCCAGATTTTTTTACTGCTCTGACTTCCGTTTATTGTATAAAACACTACATTTTTCGGTTTTTGGATGCTGTAATTCATATTTGGTTAATTATGAGATCTAGGGGAGCATCCCTAGCCTCCCCCTAGATACGGCCTTGTCTAGGGGTTATGAAATATCGAGCAAATTTGAAAGTAACAAATTGCCCAATGGATTCCATTACTGTACGTCCTTAGGTTATCCTCGATCAGAAAAACAAGTGTTTACATTTATACATCGGAAGAATGTCACATAGAATTTAGTTTGATTTGAATCCTCAAAACAGAGGACCAAAACAATTAACTAGTAAGCTACAATCGACAAAATGTTCTGAATATCATTATTATAATTCGTATTAAATAAAGATGTTTGTATTTTCACATTTTCGGGAAAATGGGGTCACTTGTTCTTAATGTGATCAACAAAAAATATTAACGCTATAGTAAAAGCTCATCATATTTTGCACATTTTGGGTGGAATTTATTCAGCAAAATTTTGAGGTGACGTCATCAATTTTTTAGGAAGGAGGAGCAAATACATTTTGACTAAAAATGTACCATGCTTATCATAACTGTAAACCATCTGCAAGATTTTAAGGCATTCGGTTTTGTAGATTCAAAATGAAATGGCAAAATGTTGTTTCATAAGTTTCATTTTTTTTTCCAAAAATATGGACGTTTCGGGTAAAAACTCAATTCGGAGTCATAAACTACATGTGTAGGACGGAAGTTTAGTGTAAGACTCTTTTTTAATGGAATAGCCTATGTATTTTTACAGATTTAGATTCTTTAAGTACGTTTCAAAAGAAATCTCACTTAAAGATCTAAAATCTTAGAAAATTCAAGGTGTCTGAATATAAAAAAACGGAAAAACCAACAATTTGTAAAATGCCATCACACTGTATAAACACAGTATTAATTAATTAATTTGTCAGTTCCCGTCTTTAAATTTGGTGGAGTCAAACATTTTTAAATGAAAATAAAAATATTTTCAAAATTGTTGAACAAAAAACTTTGGATTGCATACGATTTTTATCCCGTTTCAATAATTAAAAAAGAACATTCCGTCACCACATTTTTGGACCACCCTGTATATAATAGATGGACTATGTTCGTCCAGTTTTTTTTTCATATAAAGTAAATAATCAAAAATATTACTTTTAAACCCTGACGTAAAGTGAGGGGTGTTACAAATTTGAATCTTTTTTTTGTCTGTGTGTTTGCCTGTGGAACCGTAGCCCTCAAAGGGATGAACCGATTTCAGTGCGATTTTTTATGCTCAGTCATTTCAAGATAATCACAACATAAAAAGTTGGTGTCGACCGTCGCAGCTAATCTTAACCAACTTCAAGCTTCTTAATAGTTCTTTTTTATCTTGAGTTTTTAACACTTGTCTCAAATTTTCCTATTTTTTTTTTGTATTTTCCTGATCTCTCATTTAGGCTTGAGGGTTGTGTCAAAAACTCCTTGTGATTTTCTAAGAAGTCTAAAGTCATAACAAAATTTCGTTCTTTCTAGTAACAAGTAATATTAATAAATTGAAATTTTGAAATTTTCAGTACACAACAAGTCGTAATTACGTTTAGTATTTTTTTTAACTTAATTGATTTCAACTTGCCGATGGTAAGTTAAAGAAGACCTTCCGGCGAATGGCTACTTTCATGTTCTCTCGAAGTTTTATGACACCTAGAGTATAAAAAATAAGTCCCCCGTTTCCCTGTGGTTCTTCCAAATATTTGTTTACCAAATTCAAATTTTCAAAATAGCCCAAAATTTGCTTTCCTTCATTTATTGTAGAGATCCTGGAAAAACCGTAAGAAATACACTCAAAAAAAAATCTCAAAATCGAAATCAACAAAAGAATTTCTATTGATAATTTCCCAAAGTGTTATAGTCTCAGACCAAGATTTTCAAAATATTCTGTTTCACATTCAAGTTTTCAAAATTCTCCAAAAATTGCCTTATATCATTTTGGTAACTCAAAAAGGTAGGAATTTTCGAAAAAATGAAATAAAAAAAAATCTGAAAGCCAAGTCCGGTCATTTTCAGAAGATTTTTTTTCCCCATACCACGATTTTCCAAATATTTTGTTTCAAATTCAAATTTTCAAAATAGCCCAAAATTTCCTTATTTCATTCATTTTAGAGATCCTGGAAAAACGGTAATAACCTTGGAAGATATACACTCAATAAAAAATCTCAAAATCGAAATCAACAAAAGAATTTCTATTGATAATTTCCCAAAGTGTTATAGTCTCAGACCAAGATTTTCAAAATATTCTGTTTCAATTTCAAGTTTTCAAAGTTCTACAAAAATTGCCTAATGTCATTTTGGTAACTCGAAAAAGGTAGGAATTTTCGAAAAAATAAAATACAAAAAAATCTGGAAGCCAAGTCCGGTCATTTTCAGAAGATTTTTTTTCCCATACCACGATTTACCAAATATTTTGTTTCAAATTCAAATTTTCAAAATAGCCCAAAATTTTCCTTATTTCATTCAATATAGAGATGCTGGGAAAACGGTAAGAATTTTGGAAGATATACCTACACTCAAAAAAAAAATCGTCAAAATTGAAATCGACAAAAAAATATTGGTAATTTTCGAAAGTGTTATGGTCCCAGACTAAAATTTTCAAATTATTCTGTTTTAATATCAAATTTTTAAAAACCTCAAAATATGTCTAACATGATTTTAGTGAAGAAATTGTAGGTGTTTTCGAATAAATGAATTCTAAAAAAATTCTGGAAGCTATAAGTCATAACAAAATTTCGTTCTTTCTAGTAACAAGTAATATTAATAAATTGAAATTTTGAAATTTTCAGTACACAACAAGTCGTAATTGCGTTTAGTATTTTTTTTAACTTAATTGATTTTAACTTGCCGATGGTAAGTTAAGGAAGACCATCCGGCGAATGGCTACTTTCATGTTCTCTCGAAGTTTTATGACACCTAGAGTTTAAAAAAATAAGTCCCCCGTTTCTATCTGTCGACTGTCAAACGATAACAAATGTGTCAATATATTTATACTAAACACATAATTTCAAAAATTATGGTAAATATCTACTATGTAAATTTTATAAAGAAACACACTCCTGTACTTTTGGTTTATGAATCCGCTTTGATTGTTTACGCTACCCATCGAGATCGGCTGTATTTAAAAATATACCACCCCATTTTCGCAACAATAGAAGTTTCAGAAGAAAAAAGCTGCAGACTGCACTCTACTAATTCAACCAAATAAAAATCACTTAACATCGACAAAGCAGAACTTCATTATGACGTAAAACAAAGAAAACCCCACCATAATCGCCACTAATTAAGTCGATTGAACAAAAGCAGCATCGCTACAGCCCTCTTTTGTTTTAATTAAGTTGCATTAACCTATGCTTC